CAATAATAACAGAATTAGTTTTCATGTCATATTGTATCATTTCAACAACGAGACAATTGGCAGTTTTAAGTTATTTTAATTGTTGTTACACTAAAATCTTAAATAGTTATTTTGTACTTTTACTTCAAATTTCCAAGGAAATAATGCTTTTTTACTGATATTTCACTATACTGTGAAGTTTGTCATCAATAACATCAGCTCACTGGAAAGGAAAATGCCCTTCATTAACTTTTATAGATGCCTGCAAGCATAACATAATAGTCAATATTTTTTTCTATGTTGTCGGAAACAACATAGAAAACGTTCCCAAATAAAATATCATGAAATAATTTTGAGGCTATGTCACCTAACTTTCTTTGCCCTGACTGAAGGCCAGGTACTAATTTGCTCTTTATCACCGGCCTTTGAAGTGTGTATTTTAACAAAAAATGACACAACATTTAGCATATTTAACATTTAAATATGCTAAACATCTCGGGTAAACAACAAATTCTAAATTAGAAGTTGTACTTATTTTATCAGTGGTGTTTCTACGATACTCCCCCTTCAGTTCACATCACTGAGGGTCTTTTAAAGTAGTTTAGTCCAGCCTCTCAAGTGACCACAAAGTTAAATCAAGACATTTACTGGTGTATATTTTGCTCAGTCTCACCACCCTGGTGTTTGCTTTGGGCTTTGCTGGTCCCTTGTATATTTTTAACTGGCCTGAGACAAAGCTCAAAGCAGTCTACATCTGCACAAATAATTACGATTAGTAACTAAAGTTTAAAATTAAATTGTGTGGTAAAGTAGAGAAGGCTGCTGTCAGCTTTTAGCAAAGATGAAAGACTTAAAGATCGCTATATCGCTGTTTGTCTGCAGTGCTGGAATCAGTTTTACAAACCACTTTTGGAAGGGAGCAGGAAAAATGTTGCTCTTCTTCATGTTTAAGGTGTCATGAGGATTCATTGAAAAGCTTCTGATTACATGATTACAGTAAGTATCACTGCTGTTGTCAGCCTTATAAAAAATAAAAAATGCTGTCGCTCCCCCTGGGTTCACGGTCTCTGTGCTGCCTCTCTGTTGCTTGCTTTGAGTTTATCAGAGAGGAGAGTTCTGCCATAAATTACAGCCCTGCGTGGCAACTTCACTGTTCTTCTTCACTGACATTCATCTTCACTTGCTGTGTTTACAAGCTTTTCATTGATAAAAATAACGGCGATCTGGGCTGAATCCTAAAATACGAATCCACTAAGAACTATGTCTCTTTCATGGGCTTCATGCACTTTCTTTAATGTGCAGATATAAAGCCTAACGGTTAGTGAGGTGAGGCTGGAACTGACGGGTGGAAACTCATTCACCTGCCCTGCTACTGAATCAGCTTCCAAAAGACTTCTATTTTTTTTTAAAGAGGCTTTGTGATATATGTATATATTACATATATACTGTAAAATAGTGTAAAAAACAGCATAGTTGGCAAACAGGAACTACTACAACTCATAGTGGGGCTGCTAACTTGTGCTGCTTTCTGGTGAAGCAGCGGAAACACTGATGTTGGTGGCGATACTCAACATGAATATTACGTTAGTGTGATTAAAAACATGAATGCATCATTTCCATGTATGTCACTAATCTGCATTCAGCCCAGTGTGTGTGAATGTTAGATAGAAAGCACTTGCATAGAAAAACCATAAAAAGCGCTTGTATGAATGGGTGAATGAAGCATGTTATGTAAAGCGCACTGAGTGCAATTACTAAAACTAAATTTCTGCCATGCTTTAAAGTGGCAACAGACAAATCCTCTTTTTTAATTTATCATTACAAGCTGACATTTTCATCTATAGGGCAGTAAAACATGACAGTGAAACACCATGGGTCCATTTTGCAACACTGCAGTCTGGAGATTGTTATTTCCATCTGCAGTCATTTGTATTTGCTCTGTTCTCAGACCAGCACAGAACAGAGCAGGTATCAGTAATAAACAATATGACATTGATTACATCAGACACATCAATTTAAGGAGGGGTTATGAGTGGACAGGGTTGCAAAGCAGCTTGCAGATGTACAGCAACTGTAGCCAGGCTAAAGCAGCTTAAATAGCACACACTATATAAGATCTGCCAATGGCATGCATAGCAAGGTATCAGCTGAACCACCAGCTGATGTGGCCGGACATTAAGACCAGCTGGTCTGCTGGGGTTGTGGTGGAGCCTGACTTCATGTTGTGCCTGAGTTTACTCTACCAAACAAAAAAATTAGTCTCCTTCAAAAACAACCGAAAAAGGGAAAGAGTGAGAGTGATTAAAAAACAAAACTGACAAAACTAAACAAACAAAAATATCCATCAAATAATGGATTTAGCATAATAGAAGGTGCTGCAGCAGTCTGAAAGACAAACAAAGGCAATGCAAAGCAGAGGAGGATTTAGACTTCGTAGGCATGTAGAGCCTACGATGTAACCATGGCTGACGTGCTTGTGTGCTGCTGCATTATGTGTTGATTACAGCGTGGCCGTGTCCAGATGTTTCAGTGCCAGCAGATAGAAAAAAGGAACATTTTTTTCCTCCTCGGTGTGCCCTCTTTGTTGCACTTTTTTTTATTCGTTCGGAGGGAAATCATTTTTGTCCCACTCCTTTGTACATTCCCTCACGTCTATTCTGATTGTTTCAACAATCTACCTCCAGGAATCTGCTGTCACTTGTGAATCCTTATATTGATGCTATGTTCATTATTCCTTATACTAAGAGGATGATTGCTATTCTCTCACTGATAAATTCAAAAACTGCCGTGAAAAAGTAGCCGGAAATGCACGGGAGGAATCGACGGTACTGAACAGGCCAATCACAATAGGAGCTTCAGAGGTTACTCCTAGCAGACCTTGAAGGGCTAAAGAGTTAATGTGAAACCAAAAACATATCCAAATCCTAAATTGTGAAATGTTTGCTAATTGAAATGAAAAATAAAACATCCTTGTACTTTTAAGATCTGAGTTTATGAACGACCAACTGTGTCTTAATTTCTCACAAGTACTAAAATCAAACAGCATGAAAGCAGTTGTCACGTCATCCTCTGTTACTGGAATGTAAAGTAAGAAGACATTGATTTTTAAATACAAAATTGATGGGCTGGCACTGCTAAGCACTTAACTGCTCACCTGCTGTCCGAGCTCTGGCCGTGGCATTATGATTACAGGATGCACAGCGGTTGACGTCATGACATTTTGGAATGCTGATTTATTGCTGCTCTGAGGCTTTCTACTGCCAGGACAGCTGCCTAACCAGAGGGCCTTTTTATGAAAAAAGAGGACAAGGACGGACAAAATGAATAAAACAGTCAAATAAGAAATAAGAGGAGGTGATGTCATCCTGCTGAGAGACCAACAAAAACAAGACCAATACTTTTAGCTGGCAGCTATTCATCACACAAGCTGATTTTTAAGTGTGTGAATGTGTGTGTGTGCTTGCATGTGTGTGTTGCAGGTAACGGTGTTTTTTCTTTTTTTCTTTTTTGATCAAACATGCATAATTTCTCTACTTCACCGCTGACAGTCGTATATTAACCAGAGTAAAATTCAACAGCCTCTGCTCATGCCAACCCTTTGAAGTCGCCTCACCAAGCGACTTCAAGAGAAAAAAAAAATCATGATGAAATTCTGGTGAAATTTCCCTTTTAAATAGATTTCCCAGATAGATAGAAAGGGAAACTCATCCCCATTTTAGTCCATCTGTTCCTCATTCAAGCATATCTATGTGCCTTCACTTATTTGCCTCATTTCCTCTCCCTCCATTCTCCAATCATTTCTCCTGCCTTTATTTCCCCTCACCTTGTTCTTCCTTCCTTAAAACGTCCCGCGTTTCTTAAGCTCTCTCTCCCACCCCCCATTTATCCATCCCTCCTCCCTCTTCCACACAATAAATATCTTATTATTATTCACCAGGTTAAAGTGTACTTATTAAGGAAGAGCTGAACGAGAAGCCAGGATATCGTAGGCAACTCAAATAGAAGCAAAGACAGTGTATAGAAACCAGAATAGTCCTCATTATTATTAATAGAAGTCTCTTATTATTATTACCGTTATTATTATTACTAGTATAATTGTTATTAGGATAAAATAAAGTTCCTTGGCCCTTGTTGATGCAGAGAGAGAGGGTGCAGGCTATTGACAGCAGAGCAAAGGTTCCATGCTGCTTCTGTTCATCCCAGTGATTCGGTCAAATTTAAATCCATTGTTCCATGGTTAAAGGGGACGTTATTCCGTGTGCGATCTCCTTCCATTCAGCTGAATGTAAAAGCGTAGTTCAATTCAAATTCCACTGGTTTTAAGATGATTTAATTCCATTTTTATTCCGATACAGATTCGAAGTTTGGTTAAAGGGAAAGAAACCATCATGTGAAACTTTCCAAACAGGGATATTTCCTTTTTGAAAAGTCACTTTGAATCCTTGTAATCCCATAATAACGATGTGTGTTTTAATCTTTCGGAAAAAAAAAGTATGCTCCTTTTTAAATGAACTCCTTTGGTCTCATGGTGGCATTTGTGGAAAATGGCAGATGTA